TGCTAGGATAGTTAGCTCTAAATCTCAAAGCTATGCTAGTTGGCTTAAATCACAGTGCTAGGCAAGTTAGGTCTAAATCACACAGCTAGGATTGTTAGCTTTAATGAACCAAGCTAGGCTAGTTAGCTCTAAATCACAGTGCTAGGCTAGTTAGCTCTAAATCACACTGCCAGGCTAGTTAGATCAAAATCACACTGCTGTGTTAGTTAGCTCCAAATCACTTTGCTAGACTAATTAGCTCTAAATCACACCGCTAGGACAGTTAGCTCAAAATCACAGTGCTAGGCTAATTAGCTCTAAATCACACTGCTGTGTTAGCTCTAAATCACTTTGCTAGACTAATTAGCTCTAAATCACACTGCTGTGTTAGTTAGCTCTAAATCACTTTGCTAGACTAATTAGCTCTAAATCACACCGCTAGGACAGTTAGCTCAAAATCACAGTGCTAGGCTAATTAGCTCTAAATCACACTGCTGTGTTAGCTCTAAATCACTTTGCTAGACTAATTAGCTCTAAATCACACTGCTAGGACAGTTAGCTCAAAATCACAGTTCTAGGCTACTTAGCTCTAAATCACAATGCTATGTTAATTACGTCTTAATCACACTGTCAGGCTAGTTAGTTCTAAATCACAAAGCTAGGCTAGTTAAATCTAATTTGCACTGCTAGACTAGAGAGCTCTAAATCACTAAAAATCAATCTCTAAATCATTGCTAGGCTATTTAGCAATAAATCAAACTGCAAAGGAAGATAGCTATAAATCAAAATGCTAGGAAAGGTAACTAATTTACACTGCTATGCTACATAGTTTTAAATCAAACTGCTCATTAGCTCGAAATCAAATTGCTAGGCTACACAGCTCTAAGTCACAGTGTTAGGTAAGTTACCTCTAAATCACACTGCTAAGCTGGTTAGCTCTAAATTGCACTGCTAGGATAGTTAACTATAAATCAATCTGCTAGGCTAGTGAACTCTAGATCACAGTGCTAGGTTATTGAACTCTAAATCACACTGCTAGGTCAAATAGCTCTAAATCACACTGCTAGCATAGTGAACTCAAAATTGTACTGCTAGAATAGTTATCTCTAAATCCCAGTGCTAGGCTAGTGAACTATAAATCATACTCTTAGACTGGTTAACTCTGAATCACACCACTTGGCTAGGATTGTCATAGGATTGTTAGCTCTAAATGACATTGCTAGGCTAGTAAGCTCTAAATCACACTCCTAGGCTTATTAGCTCTTAATGACAATGCTTGTCTAGTTAGCTCTAAATCACAATGCTAGGCTAATAAACATTAAATCACAGTACTAGGATAGTTCTCTAAATCACAGAGCTAGGCAAGTGAACTCCAAATCAAGGCAAGTGAACTCTAGTTAGCTTTAAATCACACTGCTAGGCTAGTCAGCACTAAATCACAGGGCTAGGTTAGTTAGCACTAAATAACACTCCTAGGCTAGTTAGCTCTAACTCACACTGCTAGACTATTTAGCTGTAAAACAAAATGCAAGGCTAGTTAAATCTAAAACACACTGTTAGGCCAGTTAGCTCTAAATCACACTGCTAGGCTTGTTAACTATAAATTAAACTGCTAACCTTATTAGCTCTAAATTACACTGCTAGATTAGTTAACTCTAAATCACAGTTCTAGGCTAGTTAGCTCTAAATTGCACTGTTAGTATAGTTATCTCTACATCACACTGCTAGGCTATCTAGCTCTAAATGATACTGATAGGCAAGTTAGCTTTAAATCATCATACTTGGCTATATAGCTCTAAATCACCATGCTATGATTGTTACCTCATACACTATTATGCTATTATACTATTATAGTTCTACATCAAATTGCAAGGCTAGTTAGCTCAAAATCAAATTGATAGATCACACAGCTCTAAATCACAGTGAGAGACTAGTTAACTCAATTACAATGCTAGGCTTGTTACATATCACATTCCAAGGCTTGTTAACTATAAATCACACTGCTAGTACAGTTAGCTCTAAATTACATTGCTAGGCTAATTAGCTCTAAATTAAACTGCTAGGCTAGTCAGCTCTAAATTACAATGCTATGCTAGTTAGCTATAAATCACACTGCTAGTCTAGTTAGCTATAAATCAAACTGTTTTTTCCCAGTATTTTTAATTGTGAAAAAAAAAAAATTGGAACAGTTTCTTCTTTTGAATATCTTGTTGTTCTACTCAAAGGTCAGGAACCAGTCTTGCTGGTGGTTCTTTATCGTCCATCCAAATAGGCACCTCTTCTCACCAGAACTGTCTGAACTACTGTCTGTGTAACTAATCATGATCGGATTCTTCTGACAGTTGATGAAGCTTCAGATAAAAAAGCTTCTGAATTTATTAAACACATTTGATTTTACTCAGCACACAACTAGTCCAACACACACTCACTGTCATATTTTATTTAGATTTAGTCTGTCACGAGGTTTATTTATTAATATAAATTAAATCCTTGATATCACGATCTCTGATCACTACTGTGGGGTTTTCAGTATGTCATTTTGTTGGCATAAAAGATAAAATAACAAAACATTTTTTGTAAATATAGGTGAACATATCTCTGATAAGCATGATATTCTCTGTGGTGTACCACAAGGTTCTGTACTAAGTCCACTTCTGTTTTCTTTCTATATGTTGCCACTGGGTCAGATTATTAGGAAGCAGGGCATCAATTTTCATATTTATGCAGATGATACACAGCTCTATATATCTGTGACTCCAGACAATATCAGTTCAGTAGATAAGCTCGCTATCTATCTGTCCAGCATAGTTAGCTGGATGAATAGTAATTTTCTAAAGCGTAATGAAGAAAAGACAGAAATAATTATAACTGATAGTGAAGCAAAGAGGAAAAGGTGAATGGAAGACATGGAAATCTGGCTCTACAAATAAAAACTGAAGTTAGGAATTTTGGTGTAACTCTAGACTCTGATTTAACTTTTAAAGCACATATTAATAATATTACCAAAACAGCTTTTACCATTTAAGGATTGTAGCACAAGTTCGACCAGACCTCTGTCTGCAAGATGCTAAAAACTGATCCATGCTTTTGTGTTTTCTCAACTTAACTACTGTAACGCTTTGTTCACAGGACGTCCTGCAAGTACAACCAACAAACTACAACTTGCAGCAGCACGAATATTAACAAGGACTAGAAAACATGATCATATTAGACCAGTTTTAGCTTCACTGCACTGGCTGCCTGTCTCTCTGAATTGACTGCAAAATTTTACTACTAGTTTTTAAATCTCTTAATGGTTTAACACCTTCATACGTCTCTGAGTGCTGATAGATGATGTTCCTAATCCAGCTTTAAGATCATCCAGTGCTGATTCTCCATGTTCTATGTATGAAACTTAAACAGAGCGGAGAGGCAGCGTTTTGTTTTTTATGCACCAAAGATCTGGAACACATTACTGCTAAACATCCATCAGGCTCCTCCAGTCAGTGTTTGAAAAACCAGTTAAAACATATTTCTTTACTTCAGCGTTTAACTAGTTTTTTAAAAGTAACATTGATATTTCAGTAAAAACAAAGGAAACAACAATTATGTTCTTGTTAGTTGCATTTTTGTCTTTTTTCTTTTTATTTATAGTTTTATCTTGTGCTTTTTAAATTGTATTTGTTAATATATCAATTTTCTGCTATTTATTACTTGTTCATTATATTTTGTTTTTATTTTTTTGATTAGTTTTTTCCCTCTTCTTCCTCTGTTGTTCTTTACTTTGTATTGTAAAGCTCTTTAAGCTGCATTTTTAATGTACGAAAGGTGCTAGGTAAATAAACATTATTATTATTATTATTATTATTATTATTATTATTTGGTTGTTTGTGTGTAAATAACGATTAATCCGCACTTGTTGGTGCCTCACTCAGAGATGAGTGATGAGTGTGTTGGATAGACACAGGAGAGGCTACAGAATAACACAAATAACACATACATACATTTAGAATAACAGAACAACAACATTAACATAAAACCTCAACATTGTCCTTTTTTTATGGGCACAGGGCAGCACTGCATACTGTGCCTCTAAAGCTCCTTCCCAAAACCGGAGCTGCTACAGTATCACATGAACAATATAAACACAGGACAGCGGAGCTCACAGCTTTAATTCTTGAGACTGGAATTGTAACACAGTCACTATAACGATGTTTATGAATAGTTTGTGAAACTGTGAAACAAATCTATTTCCTGATTTTTCCACTGACAATAACAGAACAATAAATGAGAATTCACCCATTTTCCTGTTTCTCAGTACTGTTTTTTAAATGAAAATGGAATGACCCAAAGGTACGCGAACCTCTATAGCATCAAAAGGACTTCAGTCATATGTAGAACCATCTACAGCACAATGTCTATCAATCTGAAGAACCATTTCACCATGAAAAGAGCTCTTTAATCATGCAAATATTTTTTGTGTTCCTAGTTCTATATAGAACCACTGTCTTTACTAAAGGACCCTTGAAAAACCAACTGTTTTTAAGAGTGAAATATTGCATGTGGGGGGTGGGCATATTCTGTGAGAGAGTTTGATAGTGAGCGTGAGAGAGTTTGATAGCGAGTGTGAGAAGTTTGATAGCAAGTGTGAGTTTGATAGCGAGTGTGAGAGAGTTTAATAGCGAGTGTGAGAGAGTTTAATAGCAAGTGTGAGGGGTTTGATAGCGAGTGTGAGAGAGTTTGATAGCGAGTGTGAGAGAGTTTGATAGTGTTTATTAAATAGCGATAATGTAAAGATGATGAAGTCTCCGCTGACACCGTCTCGCTTGTATAAGATGTTTATTACAAAGTAAAACAGTATCATATCAAGCACTATAAAAGTACCTGAGAGGGGATCTGAGCCAATTCTAAAGTGTTCCCCTCCAGAACAGTATAACCAACTGCTTATATAGGGTGCTTGTTGTTGAAAATGGGAACAGAACATAAGGTTGTGCGTTCCAATCGGAAGGCAGCTGTCTAAGTAGGTAGCATTCTAAGGCAGCATTTGCACGCTCCCAACAGTGCTGTCCCATTCGGAAGGCAGCATAAGGCAGCTGCCTTCTAAGATGCCTTATTTTGACCAAATCTGAAGGCATCATCGCAGGTATCCTTGTCGGTGAAGGCAATCCTACAATACTGTTCACCTGCCGAAAGTTCCATCGCTCCAGTCTGATAAACATGGCAGACGAAGCGGCCGTTTTTTGCCAACCGAGGAGTTTACAAATGTAACTTATTTCTTCATTACTGTCTTTATTGTTTCGATTAATTGTTGTGTTTGTGTAAAGTATTGAACATATTTATGTATGTAGATCTCTAGAAATTGTTCCTGTAGTGAAATTCTGGCAGTTCGCTTGTCTAAGGCGAATTGACCAGCTGCGTTTGTAGCTCGTTAGCTAGATAAAACCAACGTTAGTTAACTTAGCTAGTGGGCTAACTGTGTAAACGTGCCGGCTGTTCAAAAGGAGAGAGTCCGGTTTAAAATACTGGCTGTTCACTGTTTAGTAGCGTTTAGTTTCGTTTAGTGTCAGGATTTTTTTTTCTGTCCTCAGCAACTAACATTACAGTGGTGTTGTCTGAGGGGCTGAGGAAGAGGAGCGATTCAAACTACGCTGAATGACCGAAAGTAGCTGACTTGCCGAACATATTTTGGGGGAAAACACAGTGGGACCAACGCTACAGACTGACGTTCTCCCTGAATGATGAAAAATACTTTAACTTATGTAGAAGTTCAGAAATAAAATGTTTTTTTAATAAATACTACAGGTGCTTATTTTTGCTGCTCCGCTTGTCGTGTATTGCTGCACTTACCACAGTCACAAAAGTGTGAGGTGAATGTTGATGGCTAAATTTCAGACTAGAAGCTCATAAATCAGATGAGAACACATAAAATAAAATGCATATTAGCTGCTTAACAGATTGCATGGGATCCTTTTTTCTCAGTGCATTTTGTACATAATTATACATAACATTACTGTTTATCCTTTGTGTGCTAGAAATAAAGCAGGTTCATTAAGGTGGATGAGGACGGAATGAATTGAAATGTTTTATAAACTAGTCACGATTATCTGTATTTATCTGGGCTGCTGAGTCGAGTATATAACGATAACTATGATTCCTTAAATCAAACTGTTCTTCATATACAAATTTCCACAACAGTTTCAGTGCAGGAAAACAGCTACTGCAGATTCAGAGCCGTACTTTTACACTGAGATGATCCACCTTTAGTCAGAGGTGAGTGTAAGCTAACAAGCGACTGTGAGTAAACAGATAAAACATGAAGAGCGCAGTGAAAGTTATGACGTATGACGGCTCTTAAGCGCTGTCCCGAATGCGATGCCTACTAAGGTTCCTTTTCAGTTAAAATGCTGCCCAACAAGAGAGCTGCCTTTGAAGGCAGTGACTAGTTAGGCAGCTCCCTTCAGAATGGAACACATTAAGTAAGTCAGTAACTCACTGTAGTTTCTCCAGTTTATAGTGTGGATCCTCCAGTAGATCAGACAGCAGCTTCAATCCAGACTCTCCTGGGTAGTTATAAGTCAGATCCAGGTCTCTCAGGTGGGAGGGGTTTGATTTCAAAGATAAAGCCAGAGAAGAACAGCCTTTGTCTGTAACCATACAGCCAGACAATCTGCAGAAAGGAAAGAAAGAGGAACAGATAGCATTTACATACTGCAAAACCCAGCTGCAGTACAGAATTGGCCTCCAGCCAGTTCATAACAAACAACTGATGGAGACAATGAGTGAAAGTTGTTTTTATTTTCAAATCAATCTATTCAAAAATGGGTTGCAAACCACAAGGATAGCCCTACTGAAGCCCACCCACTGGATTCCTGACAGCATTAGCCCCAAGATGGGCAGAAAATGGCTCCAGCTCCAGCTCTCCACACTGGAAAGCCTTTAAAAGAAAAACCTGCACACCGGCGTGTCTCAGTAGCCAATCATGTCAAAGCTCCCCCTCTCAATTCCACCTGCAACACACTCAGGGCAAAACAAACTTAATCATCACACCCTCTCTCATCTCCACCCCATATAAAAAAATAAACTTTATATACCACCACCCACTAACATGTGCAAAAAAATAATTTTACATTTTACAATTTTCATTAATATTAGACAAGTCCCATCCAATACGTCCTTGCACTTCCCGGCCCTGGGAAGTTTAAAGACAGTAAAAACAGTACATAACAACAAATAACAGGTATAAAGATTAAGAGACTGATATCTGTAACAATGTATCCGCTATGACATTGTCAGTAACTTCGACAAATATCAAGAACATAAGGCTGCAAGAAAAGGCACCAGCTCATCACAAACCTGAGACAAGGAGGAGTAGGTGTTACCATTAATGGTGGTGACGCATCACATTATGCACACCCCCCAGCCAGGTCGTTCCCCAAAATTACTGAAGCCCCATCCACAGGAAGCGCAGGGCAAACCTCTAACACGACCTCAAGTTTAATGAGGTCTGAAAAAGGAGAAACTCTATGCAGTGGAACCAAAAAATAGCTAAACTACAAAAAGAGGGATACAAAAGGGATACAAAAGCCCCTCATGACCCTCATCTTCAAACAGTTACTAGTGTTAGGTATTTCTGCACTGAAGCCCATTAGTGCAAAAAAAAATAAAAATAACAGGCCACACGTAGCACCTCCGATGTGCCCCTGAGTCAACTGCTTCATGTATGATCATCATTCATAAATTACAAACTAAAACAAAAAAGGGCCTACATGACCAAATGGACATGCTGCTGTACCTACCAAGGGAGAAGGCTTCCAACACACAAAATATGAACCAACTAATCATATGAGCCCAGTTCTAACAGGAAATATTTTTAATTTAACCATACCACACTCACCCCCCCTCCTCAAAAAATCCTGGCAAACCCCAGCAAGTATTTTAGCCAGGAAAAAGTGCAGCCAAAAACAAAAAATGTCCCCACATTGTTACAGACCAGCCAGTCCATAACACACAGTTGAGGGAGATGATGAGGCTCCAGCTCTCCATGTTGGAAAGCCTTTCAAAGAGACCCAAACACCTGCACACCAGTGTGTCTCAATTAGGTCCAATTAGGTCCAAGCTCCACCTCCAAATTTCACCTGCAACACATTCAGGGCAAAACAAACCAAACAGCCCGGAAGATCGTCACAATATATATCAACACTCTGACACAGAACAGGATGGAACAAAAACACAAACTGACTCAACACAACTAATTACAACATGATAAAAATCAGATTCTGATTCAGAGCTCCAGGAGATTTGATTAGCAAAAGATTTAGTGAAGAACCAAGACTCCAAAACCGAAACCATTTTCCTCCTGGAAGCATCACAGAGTTGATATATACACTGGAGATCAAAATTAGAGAACAATTTATGAACACTCGTTTTTTTCAGAAATAATGTAAGCTTCATTGGTCAACATTTGAAGGATTTTTTGTTAGGGGTATACCATGCCACTAGAACAGTGTTTTACAAAATAACCAAGGTACTTCAACATAAACCTTTATTTTTGTAACGCGACAGAATGACGCAGACGCTTGCAGATAAAAAGGGAATGAGAAGCTTTACTGGTGAAAACAGAATCCACAATCGTAGTCAGGTCACAGGCAATGGTCAGATCCAGAAAAGACAAAACATACAAAAATACAAACATAACCAGGCAAAAGTATCCAAAAGGGGTCAGGCAAAAGGCAGGTCAAAACACACAGCAAAAAGGTCAGAATATGAACAGACAATCAGAAAATAAACGCTCAGTAGCTCTGTGAGAAGAAGCAATACCTCGCAATGAGACTAACTGCAAGCCCGGGCTATAAGCTAAACTAATCAGAGAGAGACAGGTGAAAACAACCAGTAATCTGGGGAACTGGAGCGCTGATTGGAGCGTGAAAGTGAGGCTGGCGTCACGTGATCTCCTAGGGGATTCTGGGACATGGAGTCCAAGGAAAGTTCAGAGCCTACGGGAGTCGTGACAATTTTGCAGAAAACACAATGATCAAAATTAGAGAACAGCAATGACTGTAGCACATAGAAAGATTACAACTAAATTGTCTGAAGGTTACAACAGTCACCAATCAGTAGGAAGTGTACAGGCCATTGCTTTGAATGACTTCAGCACATCTGCGGCCACAGGACATCACTAGTCTCTCATACTGCTCTGGTGTGATTTTGGTCCACTCTTCTTGCAGTCTCTTCCACAGTTCAGTGACTGTTGTGGGTTTCTTGGCCATAACTTTGTCACCAAGGATTTTTCAGAGATTTTCTATTGGGCTTAGATCAGGACTCTGGGCTGGCCATTTCATTGTTTCAATGTTTTCAGTTTCAAGGAACTGCTTTACCCATTTTGCTGTGTGACAGGGGGCATTGTCCTGCATGAAAATTGCTGGCTGATTGAGTGATGAACGCAAGGAAGGAACCACGTGTTGTTGAAGGTTCTGATACACACTTGCATTCACTCTGCCATGTAGCTGTATGGGAGGTCCAACTCCTGCTGTCGAAAACATTCCCCAAACCATGACACTTCCTCCTCCACCTTTCACTGACTTCTTTACACACATTGGGTTCAGTCTTTCCCCAGTTTGTCGACGAACATAATGTTTCCCATCAGACCCAAATAAATTAAACTTGCTTTCATCACTGAACTGAACTCTGGACCACTTCTCCTCTGACCACACAACATGCTCCTCAGCAAAGGTTAATCTAGCCTTTTGATTCTTTCTGCTAATGAGAGGTTTGGTCACTGCAGAGTGGGCTTTCAGTCCAAATGCTCTTAAACGTCGAGCCACTATATGACGAGCCAGTTCCTTACCCTGTTCAGTGCTGAACTGGCGAGCAATTCCAGCTGCAGTGTTGAACCGATTACCCATGGAGATTCTCCGCATTATCCTGTCCTCTCTTGCATTTGTCTTTCGTGGGCGACCAGCCTTCTTGGGGGACTTGAATGAGTTTGTGATGTTGTAAAGATGCAATACTCTAGAAATCACAGACTTGGAATGACCAACTTCTCTTGCTATGGCTGATAGGGTCACCCCTTTGGCCTTCATCTGGACAACCTGCTGCCAGAGGGTTTCAATCACTTTGGAACGGCTCACCATATTGCAAAGTCAGTGAAAACTGGTAAGTTAGGCTGCCAGTTAAATAGGGTTTGTCAGATAATTAAGGAAATTAGCACCAGGTGCCAGATTAACACCAATAACTTGCAGGTATCTGAAAGTGTTCTCTAAATTTGATCAGTGTTCTTTTTCAATTATCTCATTTAAGTTTTTTTATACTGTGCTTTAGAATATATACAACTCATGAAATAAGCTTAGAATACTGCTCTTCTGATCAATGATGAAAAATGGAACTCTCACCGACGTTGGGGTAGTAACTAAAGAAGAACAATTCGCTAATTACTTCTTTCAAAATTAAATGTGATTACATTACTTATTACTACCTGAAATGTGATCTCACTACACTGTACTTGTATGTTACTCTGTAACCTATTTCTGCTCCTCCCTCTAGTTCACCCTAGGTTGTGACAGCTTTTAAACCCATAGTTCCACAGTTCACATCTGACTCAGATTGACTGAGATTCTGTTTCTTGCAGTGTTTTAAGTTTGTTCCTTTCACTTCTCTGTTAATCATTTTTGAGTACAGCTCTGCACTTGAGTTTGTGTTTGTCTACAGTAGGTGATGTGCCTTGTTGTACATTTGTCTCTAATATTAGAGGCCTAAGTTTGATTCTTGCACAGGGCTGGTCATCCCCACTACAGGAGCTCACCCTGCTGGCCTGAGCACTGAGACATTTAGCTGAACACTGAATTTTCATTACTTTCTTTCATATCTTTCTCTTCCTTCTAATCTAATGCACTATAAATGTCCCATCTCTGTTTTCAGCCCAGGTGACTGAGAGGTAAGAGAACACTGTTGTTTTCCTCTGATTTTGCATATTTGTCACACTAAATGCATTAGGATACTCATAAAAATGTAATATAAGACAAGGAGAACTTGAGGAAAAACAAAAAAGTTTTCAAAAGATCATTTAAAAAAGTAGCTTCCCCTAAACTCACATAACTGGCTGAGCCATCTTTTACAAGAACAACTGTAACCAAACACTTAAGTCATTTGGTCCACTCACTTTTTGCTTTAATTCAGCCAAGGTTTTTGAGCATGAGGTGTCACTGCATCTCATTGGTTTAAAGTCAGGACTTTGACTAGGCCACTTGATAATTTTAATCTTGTTTGAGCCATCCAAAGATGGACTTAATCTTGTGCTTGGGATTGTTGTCTTGCTGCATAATCCAATTATGCTTGAACTTTAGATCATCATTGATGACTAAATATTCTCCTGCAGGATACTGTAGTAAAGAGCAGAATTCATGGCTTCATCAATTATGGCAAGTCACTGAGGCCCGAAAATAGCAAAGCACCCCACACCATCACACTACCCCTCCATGTTTCACGGCTGGTATGATTTTCTTATTGTGGAATACTGATTTAGCTTTACACCAGATGTAATGGCACCCCTGTTTTCCAAAATGCTCCACTTTTGACTTATTAATCCACAGAACACTACTTCAAAAGGCTTGGGGGTCATCAAGGTGTTTTTTGGCGAATGTGACACAAGCCTGTATGTTCCTCTTGGTTAGCCATGGCTTTTGCCTTGCAGCTCTCCCACTGATATCATTTTTCTCCAGTCTCTTTCTAATGGTGGAGTCATGTACATTATCTAAGATGAGTGAGTGCAGTTTCTTCAAACTTTCTGTTTGTCTGGATTTTTTTGTGACTTCCTGGATGAGTTGTCATTTGGAGGAATTGTGGTAGGCAGATCACTTTCTAAGAAGACTGACCACAGTTCAAAGTTTTCTCTATTTGGAGATAATGGCTCTCACTGTAGTTCACTGGAGTCCCAGTGCCTTATATATGGCTTTGTAACCAGACTGATTTCACATCTTTTCTGGAATTTCTTTTGATCGTGGTGTAGTGTGGTGCTTGTTGAGACATTTTGGCCTACACAACATTGTTGGAGGAGTTATTTAAGTGGAATTTAGATTCAACAGGGCTGGGAGCAATCAAGCCTAGGTGTGTCTATTTTAATTCATCCCAGATATCAAGTAAATATCATGAATTGGCTTAATGAGTAACTCAGTGGGCAATTACTTTTTCAAATAGAGCCAGTTGATGTTGGACAACTACTTTCCCTCAATAATTGAAATCACTTAAAATCAGAGTTTTACATTTAATCGTGTTCCCCTTGTTTTATGTTACTTTTTGCGTGATTATCTAAAACTGTTTAGTGGTACAAATTTTCAAATCAGAAAATATTTTCCCACAGCACTGTACATATGTAATTGTTTTGTGTTGCTATTATACTGATAGCCAATACATATTAAACTAAATGCTTAAACAAGCTGAGGTGCAACAAAGTAGTGAAATATAGCAAATGGAATGAATGTACTTCCAGTATGAAACTGTAAAAACTGTGTTTCCCATAATATTAAGTAGCATTCCTGCCTTTGAGTGTGCTGAATCTCAAACTGTGAGTTAACATATCAGTTCTTTATATCTTAGATCCTGTTAGCTTTTTAGTAGAAATGTAATAAAATCTCAGTTTTAGGGCAGCCATGTTGATGTAAGTTAAAACAAATCATTTTGCAGTGAATTTGGGAGCGTATCACCCAAGAGGTTTCTAATAATTTCCTTTTTTTAGCTTATTTTGCACAAATATGTTAAAGATTTACTACACAGTTTTATCAGAGAGTCTAATGGATTCTTTATATGGTGGTCATTTGTAATTTGTAAATGAGTGAGGGTTATGTTCAACTTCTGATCTTATTAGGTGACATCCATCTGGCTCTGAGACACACTCAGACTCCATCTTGCAGAATCTTCTGGGAGATCACCCGACTCCTGACCTTCCCTTGCGCTCCAATCAGCGTCTCACTCACCGGAGTACTAATTCTGTTCACCTGTTTTGTGTGTCATATGATCCTCTTAGTTTAGTTTATAAGCTCGGGCTTTAGCAGAGACAGTTTGCGAGGTATTGTATCACTTTTTATCTACTGAGCGTTCTGTTGTTGTTTGACTCCTGTTTTTGACCATTGTTGTCTGTATTCTCGGCTCTTCCTTTTTGCCCAACCCTTCGGATTGTTTGCCTTTCATGATATCACTGTTTATGAGCTTTTTGCCTGTTTTCTTGAATCTGCCTTTTTGCCTGACCCTTTTGGATTGTTCACCTGTTGTTATGTTTGTCTTTTTGTACTAGTTATGTTTTCTGGATTTGACCCATTCTTTGTGTTTTGTTTTGACCACAAAACTGGACTTTGATTCTACCAGTAAAGTCTCCTTTGATCTTTTGTGAACTGTGAGCATATGACCATTTCTGGCACGTTACATTAGGATATTTTGCCTAATTGTGATCCAATTACTCTGCTGTTGAGATGATGTAAACAGACATTATTTGCATTATGAAGCTGTGAGCATTTTAAATGTCTGTAGTGTGCAACTATTACAAAGCAGAACATCAATGCGAAACAGTAATTTAAAAATAGTGGGCCAGTGACATGGAGAACACATCATTGTGGCTCTCACAGCACCTCCATTGATTCTCAACAGTATTAGGATTTGGGTGAAGATTAGTTTCAGGATTAAGTTCATCACCAGGGTGAGGGTTAGTTTTAGGCTTTGGGATGATACTATGGTTAGGTTTAGGGTCAGGGTTAGTTTTAGACTAAGGTGAATTTAATAGATATTTAATTGAACGTAAATTAAATGAAAGATAAGCATCTACAAGACATCTACAGTGGACTCTCCAAAAATAGTGTCAACTAATAATAAAATTAAATTGAACAGTAAAGAACTAACATCATATCAACAGTTGCAGGCTGAGCAAAGATGGTTAGAGTTTAAAAGTTTAAAATGATGGAGTGACACCAGCAAGTGGAGCTTTAGAGTTTTCTGTAATGTATTCCAGTTCACTGGTGCACTGAAACTAAAAAAAGATTTTCTCAGCTCAGTAAAAACTTTGAGAATGTGACGAGTGATCCAGTCACAAGAGCTGAAAATTTTCTGCAATTCCTGAGGAGCTGAAGAAACCCCGTTACATGTGAATCATTTAGCACCCCCTGTGGTGGCCCCTGAAAAATGGTATTAGGCCAGGCCTTTTCATATTTTTTTGTGATCAAAAGTTTTTATTTGTTTTTATCTTTTTCATCAAGATATTTCAGTGTGAAACTATGTACATATCCAGGGTGTGTCCAAAAAAAAAAGGCTCACATCAGACTTGGTCTACCTAGATGAGTAGAGAAAGTACAGGACAGATGATCCATACGTTCCTAACACAGCCGACAGCCTACAGACATTGGAGCACAGTATTCTCAAGCCTCCAAACATATGCCATACCCTGTACCATATAACTTTTATCCAGAGTTTAAAGCTGAGGCCTCATCATATTTTATAACACATATATGCAATTAGGCTATGAGTTTGTGAGAGTGACACAGTGGATTATCTTTGGTCAGCTGTTCCAACATAAACTGATTTTCCTTTCACATGTTTTCTTTGATACTTCAAAAAGGCTTATTATTTTTTTTTGTCTGCTGCATTTACTTGCAGTTGTATGTCCTTTTGTTTGTGTCCCTCCTGAGGTGAGGACATTGCCCCTTTTAACCTTGACCCCTTCACCTCCCGCCTTCTCCTTCTCCTGTAATTTTTGATCCTCCCCTCTTTCAACTTCTTTTCCCCCCTACTCCCTCCTTCCCCTGACCCTCAGTATCTCTACTTAAACCATGTCAGACTGTGGGTTCATTAGACTGGTGACAGACAAATGATCAAACTGTGTCTGTGCATGATTCTCTGCAAACATGTGAATAAAAGTTGAGATGTGAAGATCCAGTCTCCTGACTCTTCCTGCTGAATTTCTAACACTATGTGCTAAGGCTGCTAGGCTCACCACAATATTGCAATAGTAGCACACTGACCTCGCTGTTGAGATTTTAAATCCAAGAGATTTCTGAGGAAAGTCTTTTACCTTATAAAAAAGAAATGAAATTACAAATAAATTACAATTAAAATATTGTAAAACTATTTAAACAACGTGGGTGTTTGTGAATCATTTCCTTAGAAAATGTACTTCTTTGACTTATTTTAAAAGCAATGCCATCAATGGTTTCTTCAAATGTTTTTCCTCTAATTTCAAGACTGACACCATTACCAAACTTGGAGATATTTCAGCTCTACTTTTAAACTAAAGAAGTTTAAGTTTCAGTGCAAAAACATTTCACTATACAGCTAACTTTAGAATTGTTTCATGTAGTCTGTGGTCATTACTTAGCCTATCACAGCACATGTTAAATACAAACCATTACATTAATGGTTTTATATGTAATTACAATGAACTTAAAAGCAGAAACAAGAAAACTGACAAAAAAACTAAATCTAAAAACTTTGTGTTCATTTTTACTGATGGTTAGTCTAGTTTATTAAAACAGACTCAAAGAAAGATTTCTGAACTAAATGAGAGAGAACATGCCATGACAAATCACTACACATTCATTACAGGAATGAGAACAGAGAGAGATAATGAAAAAATGATGTTAATTTATTGATTTACCAGTTAATTGGTTCTTTCCATTCAGGATTGAATTCACAGAAAACTCACCTGAGTGTCTCCAGTTTACAATATGAATTCTTCAGTCCAGCAGAGAGCAGCTCCACTCCTGAATCCTGAAGGTCATTGCTACTGAGGTCTAGCTCTTTCAGGGACGAGTTTATAGATTGTAGAGCTGATGATAGATTCTCACAGGAATTTTTGGTGAGACCACACCAAGCTAGTCTGTAAAAAATCAGAATAAATATATTACATGGCGTAATCAGAGGAACTGTAATACAATTACTTTACTTTCCATATTCTACTTTGTCCTTACTTTCAGAAATAACATTATTCATTCTTGTGATCCCATTTAAAACAGGAAACACATCAATTGTTTTTCCTCTCTAAGTAGAAGTTCCTGCTTAAGACTATAAAAAGCCCACAAAAATTCAGCCAATACATGATTTAATTAAACTTGGAACATATCTTGCAAAAATACTGAAAGAAGCAATTCTTAGATTAAGTGAAAAAGAATATCATGGTTTTTCAGCAGCACATTATACTTTTAGTGTGTTTATATTTCAAGGATGGCTCAAGAAAGAGATTTAGTAGAAGTCTAAAACCATGTGAAATGAATATTAAATATTCAGCACAAATCAGAACATACTAGTTTAGCTCTGCAGCCTGGCCACTGGCTGCCACACAACCACAAAGCATAAAACACCCAACCCCATGCTTAATAGATGGCAAAAAGTTATTTATTTATTTATTTATTTCCAAACATGACTTTGATGATTGTAGCAATTTCAATTACGTTTTACATTTACAGTTATGTTTTTTTTACCCTCCTGATGACCCTTCCATGTATATGATGTTTGTGCAACAACACTGCACAGAGTACTAGCATCACTATTTCCAACTTTTACTCTGCATACCTGCCTAACATCTTTTCCTTACTGGCATTTCAGACACTTCACATTACAAACAGGAAGTGTTCATGCTATGGAATTATCTACACCTCAGTTGCATTAAGGTCTAATGAATCAAATGAGCCCTTACAAAAAATTCACTAGTGGATTCACTAAAAAGCCACATTTTATTTTATGAATACCTTTGGTGTTAACATTGATCATTTAGCTTTTCTCAATAGAGCACAGCAGTCTCAGATCATTACCTAATCTCATATGAAATTCACTTTAGTGGTAATGTACGTTCATCACCAGCTATCGAGTTAAGCAGACTATAATTTCCTCCACAGCTGGTAGCTTTATCAGAAACCTCCCACAATTATCAGCTTCTATCAGCTGTCCATCTAATCCTACTGAATTAGATACTATGACCAAGTGCTTAGAGGATACTTTTTGATCTACTCTAGATATTGTGGCTCCATGAAAAAGTAAAATAATAAGGCAGAAAAAGCTGCACCGTGGTATAATGATCACACTCAAGCTTGAAAACAGACTGTCAGACAACTAGAGTGAAAATGGCGTCTGACTAAACTAGAAGTGTTCCAGTCCGTCTGGAGGGATTATAGCCTTATAGACTACAGAAGAGCACTTACTGCAGCACACTCAGCCTATATCTCCTCTCTCATAGAGAATAATAAGAATAATCCTAGATTATTATTTAGCACTATTTCTAAATTAACTAAGAACCAAACAGCTACTGAACCCCAGATGTCATCAGCCTACAGCAGCAATGATTTTATGAATTTCTTCAGTAATAAAATTGAAATAATCAAGGCAAAAAATTAAAAAAAGAAAAGTTAAACCCTACAAACCTGCTGCCTTACAAAGCCAATCCAGATCTCAAGAATATTGTAACTACTGCAGAGAGGCTGAAATCATTTACTTCAACAAACTGAGCTAGTTAAAACGATTACCTTCTCAAAATCTTCTACTTGCATATTAGATCCAATTCCTATAAGTTTATTCAAAGGTTAGATTATAGTTTAGTATTTATTTTAGGAGCTGAAGTCTCCACCATCCAGAAGAGGGACTGACAACCATCACCAAGGATCACACTGCCTGCTGGTCTCATTTATCTGTCTTGGTTCAAGGTTCAATGATGGTTAGAATGCTGCCTACTTAGACAGCTGCCTATGGAGACAGCAGCTACTAAGAGAGCTCACTGGGTTTTGAGACACACCCTTAATGTTTGATCTTATCAGCTTCATTGCCTTTTGTTAATATAAGTTCATTCTGAAACTGATACCTGCAACACGTTCCAAAAAAGTTGGGACAGGGTGACTTACCACTATGAACATTGATAAATGTTCTGAAAACATTTCAAAAGAGGAGATGTAAACAAGCTCGGTATAAAAGGAGGATTCAGGACTGGGCTAGTCCTGAATAAGCAAGGAAGGGTCAAGGTTCACCACGCTGCCAAAAATGCAACAGCAAATTGTATTAAATCAGCATGACTGCGTAATCCGAGAGTGCGGGTTCTAGACTGGCCTGCCATCTCTTACTGAAAATGTGTGACACATTATGAAGAGCAAAATACAACAATAAAGGCTCCACACGACTGCGCAGCTGAAGGCTGGTATAATGGAAGAATGGCAAAAAATCACTTTCAAAACTGATCAGTTTGAGTCTTCAGTCCACATACAATTATTTACGTAAGTAAAAGGAAAGGTGATGTAGTAAAGTGATAAACCTGCTTGTGTCCCACCTTTTTTGAACAAATTTAAATAAAGTTCAGAAGGTAAAATATGAGGTAAAATAACATTTTTAGGCTGTTTTCAATTTAACAGCTCAAACAGAATTCACTCATCACTGCTTTCTGTGTTATTGGCATTTCACACACTGTCACAACTTTTTATGGAATTATGTTTGTAATTTGGCCAGGGGTGCCTAGACTTTTGTACAGAACTTTATCTCCACAGACAGTACCATTAAACCACAGTCCAGTTTAAAATAATCCAAAGCACTACTGAAATGAGACATATAAGACTGTCACTTATGGTGAATGAATTCTCAGTTCTATCACAATATTGGATTTTTAAACTTTGATTTGAGACTGTTTTCAAAACCATATTATCAAAAAAAAATAATAATTTCCATACCACTTACTGTTCACACCAAATGTATTTTTAATGGTAACTAATAAAAACTTACATACAGACATCAAGGCTTTCAGTGACCAGATTACAGTTCAGGTTATCTTAGCCTTACAGTAAGGATGCTATGTCTTATCTATAAAGGGCCAGTGTAGCTGTAGGTCTTCAGTCCAACTAAGCAGGATCACCCCTTAACTCAAGCCCAGTGTGAGAACAGTCCAATAGGAATGTCCCTTATCTCTCCTTTGATTGGACAGTGCTTACTGTGAGTGTAAGATATCAGCCTAGCTGAGAAACTCTGCTTTGTAAAACACCCCCTTGATCAGATGTTTGAAGACTAACACAAGCAGAACAAAGGAGGACATCAGTTGAGCTCCTGCTTGGTGGAAATGGAAAACCTGCAGCCACACTGTCCCTCTGTGGATAAGAGTGGACAGTAATGAGCATCAGAAACAGCAGTTTGACCAACAAGAGGACCATATGGACTAAAACTGACTGGAATGTTGCACTAGATTTTTACTGATGTGCATAAAATTAATACCACATAATACATGTTTAGTCTTTGCTGCACTTAATTCACCACTTAATTAATGAGCTGAAAGAAACTTTTATTTTGAAAGAGTGGTGATTGGAGTCTTAAATAACTACGCAGCATCAGTCCATTGTTTTTTCTTTTCCACGTGGATGTATGAGGTAGATCTGCAGTGTGATCACTGCTGGTCGAGTGCTGTCTGTCCATTACTCTGTGAAAACTGTTGTACAGAATGAAACATTGCAGATTACATTTGATGTTCTGTCTCATTCAACACAGCGCAGAGTGGAGCTGTGAGGTAGTCTCGGAGCAACAATGGAGCAACTGGAGCACCTGCTCCCCCAATTTCATTTCAGAAGTATGTGTTACTGATGCACAATTTCCACTTTATTAGAAACACCTACTCCCCAACTGATAATATTTGTTGCTTGTGTTTCTTCTTATTCATCAAAAACCTGTTCAAGGAGTTTTTCACTAAAAATAATTTCTCAGCCAAATAACTTCTGCCCAAAATTACCACTCATCAATAAATTTGATGGAATTGTTAATGGAAATTAGAAGCAAATAAATGTAACAGTATATGTCATATTATCATATTACTATATAACTTATATTCTTGATTTCAGCAGTAACAAATAACTGAGACTGTTGTGTCCATAAAAAGTTTCAGTATCTGGTGTGGCTTTGCAGCACACTCAGCCTGACCCCATCTCAACAACGACAATGGTATAAAAACTAGAGTCTTACTTAGTGTGACCCCTCCCCTAACACTATAACGCTATAAAACTAGAGTCATACTTAGTGTGACCCCTCCCCTAACACTATAATGCTATAAAACTAGAGCCATACTTAGCGCGACCCCTCCCCTAACGCTATTACACTAAAAAACTAGAGCCAACCTTAGCGTGACCCCTCCCCTAACACTATAATGCTATAAAAACTAGAGCCCATACTTAGCGTGACCCCTCCCCTAACACTATAACACTATAAAACTAGAGCCATACTGAGCGTGACCCGTCTCTTAACACTAAAACACTATAAAAACTAGAGAAATACTTAGCGTGACCCCTCCCAAACATAATAACGCTATAAAAACTAGAGCCAAACTTAGCGTATCAACTCACCTAACACTATAATGCTATACACACTAGAGCCATACTTAGCGTGACCCCTCCCCTAACACTATAACACTATAAAACTAGAGCCATACTTAGCGTGACCCCACCCTTAACACTATAACACTATAAAACTAGAGCCCTACTTAGCGTGACCCCTCCCCTAACACTATAACGCTATAAAACTAGAGCCATATTTAGCGTGACCCCTCCCCTAACACTATAACGCTATAAAAACTAGAGCCATAACGGCTCCCGAGGGGCGCAACCGTCTAAGCGTTGGCCCTATCATCAGGAGATCGCGAGTTCGATCCCTGGTGATGCTACAGCCATCCGTAGCCAGGAGTCCAAGAGAGCACAATTGGCCTCGCTCTCTCTGGGTGGGTACGATGGCCCCTCCCTCTCCCCATCACCAAAAACACGATGCTAGTCAGCGCAGGCGTCTGTTAGCTGACTTAACAGATCTGGCGGTTGGCGCTTTCCTCCGAGCGCGTTCAGCTGTCCAATGACGTTGCGTGAGCGGCAGTTCGAAAAGATGCGGTGGCTGGCTTCACAGGTCTCGGAGGAAGCCTGTGTTAGCCTTCGCCCTCCTAGTGTTGATGGTATCATGTGATTGGGGGAGTCCTAACTAGTGGGTGGAATTGGAGACGACTAAATTTGGGGAGAAAATTGGGTAAAAATCCCCAACTAGAGCCATACTTAGCGTGACCCCTCCCCTAACACTATAACGCTATAAAAACTAGAGCCATACTTAGCGTGACCCCTCCCCTAACACTATAACACTATCTGCTGTATTAATGTAGAGCTCACCGAGCTTTTCTGCAGACAGTCAGAGCTGGGATCAGTCTCTTATAACCCTCCTCTGATGTGTTGTATTTCTTCAGGTCCAGCTCATACAGAACCTCCTCTGAGGTTAGAAGCATGCAGGCTAGTGCTGAACACTGTCCAGGAGAAAGCTTCTCCTCTGAGTGTCTCTCTGAGTTTAGATACTCCTGAATCTCTCTGGAGAGAGACTGGTCATTCATTTCAGACAGACAGAGGAACAGATTGATGGATCTCTCAGTGGAGATGTGATAATAATCTCCTTTGATTAATCTCTTGATGTGCTCTCTGGTTCTCTCTGAGCTGCTCTGTGTTGGGGTCAGTAGACCCTGTAGGCATCTCTGATTGGACTCCAGTGAGATGCCCAGCAGGAAACGGAGGAAAAGATCCAGGTGTCCATTCTGACTCTCTACAGCTTTATTCACTGCTCCCTGCAGAACCTCATCCAGAGGAACTTTCTTAGACCACTCACTGTACTGTGGTTTAAACATCTGCAGTTCCTTCATGTTTTTCCTCTCATAGCAGTGAAACACATAAACAGCAGCCAGGAACTCCTGAAAGCTCAGATGAACAAAGCAGTAGACCTTCCTCTGGTAAAGCACACATTCCTCCCTAAAGATCTCAGTGAAAATCCCAGAATACACTGAGGCCTCAGTGACATCAATGCTGCTCTCTCTCAGGTCCTCTTCATAGAACATCACATTGCCCTTCATCAGCTGTTTGAATGCCAGTTCAGCCATTTTCAGTAGAATGGTTCTGTTGGACTCCAGCAGGTTCTTTGGGTTTCTCCTCTTTTTCTCCTCATACTTCTCATTCTTCATGTTTGTCTGAATGAGCAGGAAGTGTGAGTACATTTCAGTCAGAGTTTTAGGGATTTCTGTATGACGCTGTTTGATGATTTGCTGAAGAACAGTGGCTGAGATCCAGCAGAAGACTGGAATGTGGCACATGATGTGGAGGCTCCTTGCTGTCTTAATGTGGGAGATGATTCTCTTGGCTTGGTCTTCATCACTGATCCTCTTCCTGAAGTACTCCTCCTTCTGTGGGTCACTGAATCCCTGAATTTCTGTCACACGCTTGATGTATTTAGCAGGGATCTGATTGGCTGCTGCTGGTCGGGAGGTTATCCAGATCAGAGCAGAGGGAAGCAGCTCTCCTTTGAGGAGGTTCGTCATCAACACACCCACTGATGATGTCATGGTGATGTCAGATACTTTCTCACACTGTTCAAAGTTCAGTGGAATTCTACTTTCATCCAGACCATCAAATATAAACACAGCTTTGAGCTGATCATAAATATCTGGGTCCAGATCTTTGAGCTCAGGATGGAAGTCACACAGAAGTCCATGAAGACTGTATTGATCATCTTTAATCAGGTTCAGCTCCCGGAACGGAAGCACAAACATGAACTCTACATCCTGATTGGCTTTTCCTTCAGCCCAGTCCAGAATGAACTTCTGCACAGAGACAGTTTTTCCAATTCCAGCGATGCCTTTAGTCAGAACACTTCTGAGCTCTGGCTCTTTTGGTCTGTGATCTTCTTTTCTTTCTTTGTGTCTGAGACTGTCAGCCTTCACAGCTCTAATGTTCTCTTCTAGTGTTTCTCCTTCAGGACCTTGTAAAGTTTTAAAGATGTCTAAGCAGTTGATTGGAGAGTCTTGTACGCGTCTCCTGGATGTTTTCTCCATCTGCAGAACCTCATGTTCTTCATTCACTCCTTCACTCTCTCCCTCTATGATGTAGAGCTGTGTGTAAATCCTGTTCAGAAGGGTTTTATTCTCTTCTGTTCTGATTCCCTCAAATAAGCTCTCGTACTTGTTCTTCATGCTGGTTTTGTGTCTCTCTAAGACTCTGTGAAGGACGTCATCCACTGGTTGATGAATATCTGCCAGAGTGTTTATCTGCACTGCTGTTTGTGTGGAGTGCAGCCTAATCAGGGCCAAACACAGTAACAAACACCATTAACACAAATACTCAGAATAAGCTTCTAATCATTCATTTCATTAGATTTGAGCAATTTCCTTAAAAAAGATACTTTTGTGGTTTATCTCAAATTCCAAAGATAACATTATGTGTTTTGTTTTTAATTTTTCCAGAATTAACAATTATAAATATTTTCAGGCAATAATGTAGTAATATAATGTAAATAACATTAATTGAGGTTAAACTTGGTCTTAAATATTATAGAACTGGTTATTCATGATTAAAGGTTCACTAACACACATTGCGATCTGAGCAGCAGAAAATCAAACCCGTACTGAGGTGTGTGGCACTGTTTGCGTCTCTAGTTTGCTTAGCAGACATTAAGTTATCCAATGAGACTCTGCAGGCACCTTAATGTTTCGTAGAAGCTGCCCAGCAAAATATTTGTGAGAATGTTGAAAGTGGTATTATTATTATTATTATTATTATTATTATTATTAATAAACAATACAATCAAAATAAAACATGAATCAAGCAAAGTTTTACATTGATGAATACATAAATTCATAAAATTCATGAAAACAAAATTTATAAAATCATCATTAGTCACTTTAAATTATGTACTGTGATTTCCTGTCTTTACTGGCAATTTTTTGTTGCAAGAAACATCATCGAACATCACATTTTGATTAAATAGGTTAATAACTTCCTTTCACTTTTCATAAACTCCAATAGTCAATATCAGGTCTATTTCAATAGAGTCTGGCTGCAGACGTGCACTCTCAGCCACATTCACTGCCACAATGGCAGAATCAGTCCAACAGCTTGTTAGCATTTGGCTGCTTCTGCTTAATCGAGAGCAATCTTAAATAGACAGAGATCAAACAGTATTCAGTGCTGGTTTAAAGAACCATTAACACTATTTTTACTCATTTCTCTAGATATATGTTACTTTTTCCTTGGCTCAGTATGAACTGTAAAGCATTCAGTCAAAACTCACTTCTTGTGGTATAAATGATCTCCAAATCAATTATAACTGAACATTTTGATAATAAATATCAACTTCAGTCTTTACAAACTGATCTACAACATGCAGCCAAGAGCTCAGATACATGTTTACAACGTCTGAACTGCTGTTTACTGGTAGCAGATATTTACCCTGAGTCAGAGGTTCCTCTCCCTCCACTGGACTGTGCTGGTAATGTCATCGACTGGTCACTCTTCATAGACACACAGCTGGTTTCTCCACTGCTGAATACAGGAGGGTTCCTTATGGACCTGTCACTTGTCATAGACACACAGCTGGGTTCTCCTCCTCCTCTGCTGAATTTAAGAGGTTCCTCCATGGACTGGTCACTCTTCACAGACACACAGCTGGGTTCTGGAGGTCCTGCACGCTTCACTCTGAGAAAAGTTCATCCACAGTGAGATTAAAGTGCTGAGTAATTATGTTCTTTTATTCATTTATTCTGATCAGAAGTCACGATTTCCTCTTTCTGTTTAATCAGGTTAAGAACTGATATAAAGTTACTCACTTTGAATCAGAGGTTCTTCCTCCACTGCTGGAGTGATGAAGCTCCATCACTGAGGTTTTACTCTCCACACACAGCTGGACACTGGAGATGCTGCTCTCTGTGAACAGTTCATCCATAAACATGTATAACCTCTGTTGAGTAATGAGTTTGTTGTTAACACAGCAGGAAATATTTTTTTAACTAATATGTTTTTTATTAAAATGATCCAGTTCATGTTTATCACTACATTGGAAGTTGAAGTAGACACAGGAAACAGGTTCTAGACCTACTGACACCATCACACCTTCTGCTGCTCTACTCTTTATTAATCATAATCAGTCATTATATGATACTAATCTGCTGCCAGTAAATGCTTTGTAGAGCTCAGACTGTCCATCACAGATGAGTTTCTTTCACTTTGTATATGAAAAATGAAAGAATCCAAAAAAATGAATGAATTACAGTTTCCTAATTGTTATGATTTCACATTTAGCTGAGGTTGACATAGTGACATAATACAATTGAGATGTGATTAAAGGGTGATTATTTTTGAATAAATTATGTAGTGGGGACTTTTTCAGTTTATGTACAGTTTATGAGCTTCTCTTCCACATGAATATGAGAGAGCATCATGCAAAACATTGCCAAATTACTCAGAAAATGGGTGGAGCTTTTAAAACTAGGAGTAAATATGTGTTACTGTCTCAAAGTTACGTTGTTGAGAGACTTACTTTAACAACATCAGCAAACAGTGGAAAGACAGACACGAGCCTCAAACATGACAGAATAAAATAAACAGAATAAACTGTTTAAATGATCAAGATCAGATGGACGTGTGAGAGAAGATTTTGCACTGTGATGTGGTCTCAGTGTGTACTTACAGTTTCTGTTACTGTTTCACAAACTCTACTACCCGGAGCAGATTATCACCCTGTAGAAGGACTATTAACAATATTCTCTCTCTGATCTTTCAGTTCATTATTAATAAACTGTATTTACTGATAGAATCTCAGTATAAACAGACAGTAGAACTGATCACCTCTATAATCCTGATAACCATTATCAATAATGTGTCTGAGGTCTGATGTTATCTAGATGAAAGGAGTTCCATGTTCCATGTTCCATGTGTGGAACCGAAGCTCCTCTCTCCATGTTCTGTGGAACCACAGCTCTGCACAGGTTACTCTGCTCTACCTGCCGAAGTTAATCAGGTGAGGCTGGAAGTGAGGAACACTTCACTGCACAATTCATACTGTAAACTCTCTCTACCTCAGTGGAACGGTCCTCCTCTCTGGATCTTCATGGTGGATCACTGACTCTTCATGGAATCGTAGCTGAGATCAGGGGAGTCTGATCTCTCTGAATCAGACTGAAACAGAACAACGGAGGAAAATCATACTGAGGTCATATAGGCAAAAAAATATGATAATATGCATTGTGGAGTAAATTAATTATGGTGGATGAACAAACAAGTCATCTACAGCTCAACTACAGCACGAACAAACAAATGAGTCACCCACAGCTCAACTACAGCACGAACAAGTCACCCAGCTGATAGCATTTAGCTGTTAGACGTTAGCATCTTTTCTCCAGAATAAACGTGTTTAAGAAGCTCATTCTGAACTATTTATAACCAAAATGTGGTGATTTACATAAATTAAAGATTCTCCTCACAGAAAGAAGCTCTGATGCTCTAAAAGCTCCAACATTCTCTGGGTTTACTGGCTACCTGAGCATTAGCTTAGCTTAGCTTCAGTTATCTGACTTTATCAAACAGACCCTTTCAGCAGAACCTAAAACAGAACCCAGCAGCTGTTCCTCTCAGATCAGTTATCCTCACTGTTATCCTCAGTAAACTGTGAGTGTTGATCTTCAGTAATTACCTCTGAGCTTTTCTCTGTTTATGATCTTCACTGAACAGACGCTGCTGAAGGTTTCAGATTTGGATATATCTTCACATTTTAGCAGTGCAAAGTCTTTTTCTTGTTGCTGAACCTTGAACTTGTAGATAAAGTGTGATATCAGTGAGGCGTTCCCTGGCCCCTCTTTTATGTACGACCTTTGAACCCTGACAGTCCCTCACACTAAAACCACAATCTCTTCATTTACTCCACGAGGACCCTGTCATAAATATAACTCATATTCACTCAGTGCAGTTACTGAAAGAGCTGAAAACATACAGGTGCACTGGGAGGATATTAGGCCTCCTGACGTGCAAGTTCTTGAGTCTGCAGTGATCAGAGTCAAGGCAGTGACACTGGTTTGTTCTTCTAATTATGGATCATCCTCATAAAATCTATCAAATCCAGATCCAGTCCTGGTTTTCTCTTCTCCCAGACAGTGAACTGAAGTTAGTGATGAAGTGTGGAGAACAGCAGTGAGTCCCTCAGTGAACATGATTTCAAGAAGCACAGAACCAATAAGGAAGCATTCTGAGAAACTGTGGGTGGAGTTTACAGTAAAATGCAGTAAAGTTTACTAAGTAAAGAAGGCGAGTTTATTGAGACTTGACTCAACAAAATAAAAACAGACATGAGACTTCACTTAAACACCCGTGACTCTGACTTTCACTTGAACTAGAGCCTCGTGACACAGAAACACTCGAGACCCAAAGTGAGCCCTCACTCAGTGCTTAAACTCCAGTCTTACTAGAGAAACTGACCAGGCAAACTGACCATTTTCCTCATGTTGGTAAACCTAGAGAAACAGTGCTCTCTCTATCTGACGGATTTAAAACGCTTCTGCTGTTAAAACGAGCTGCATTAACCATGAGGGTGAAACTGACTTTTTACTCACCAGCTCCACCTTAAATGGTGCAGCAGTTACACTCCTTACATGCCGTACTACTGCTGCACTGTTTAAGGTGGATCAGAAAATTTGAATAATAAGCCAACTTCAGCTTGTGTACATTCACTATTATTCTGCTGTGTTTCTGTAAATGTTGTTCAGCTCAGAGGTTTTGGTTTCTGTTGTTGTCTAAATTCAATTTAAAAAAACAAAGTTTATTTATGTACTTATTTATTTATTTTCATGTGTAGTTGCCCTGCATTTTGTGTATACCATTATGTCTCTCATGGTTTTCTGTGTAACACATAACAAACTTACTATAAGAATACACCCTCCCCTACATGGTTTGTCAGTTCAACGTAAAACAATTACTTCATGTGGTTTTTTGTACAACAAGCAATTGATTTAGTTTTATTCAGCATAAGAAGTTACATTGATTGAAAGAATTGTTCATTCAAACTATTTATTTAGCCTGAATAAAACTAATTTACTAGTTACCATATGCAGTGTTTTTTTTTTGACGAGTCATTTTTACAGCATGAAGCTGAAGTTGACTTTTATTCATATTTTGTTGCCACCTCAAATTGTGGAATGAAAACATTGAGATTTCAGGTGATTTAATAGGAAATTGAAAAAATAAAAGAGCTATGGCCTCCTGCTTCATTCAGAACTGGTAACTAATATTGTTAGGGTACTTTGTGGACCAGAGTCTGCCAACTTTAAAGGATTGAGATGTCATTGTAAGATGGTGGACTTCTGTCTTTGAAACTGGAAAATACTCTTGGTGGGGGGGGTTCTAGGCAATGAAACTTTTTTGTTTGACTGAACCACTTGTTTTTTTTCCCTTCCTGTAGTTTAATCTAATGTGTACCAGAATTTTTCATTTTCATTTTAAAATCACTAAAACTGACTGGTGAGGATGCCTCTGAACTCGCCTACAGCAGATTGTGTTTACTCAACTTTTTCTTTTTTTTTACTCCTTTAGAGTTTTCATGACTAATATATCTGCCTCCATAGTGGATCCCCATCTTTAAAATATGAATTTTACTAAGGTCCTGTTTCAATAGCTCTTTTTCCATTACCGCCAGGCCCCTCCCACCCACCACATTGCAGCTACAGGAGCTTCTCACCAGCAGTTACAAGTACAAAACTTCTGAATTTCAATAAAAGTAGAAATTATCTTTATAAAATATTATTTGAGTTAAAGCAAAAGTATTCTTCTTATGATTTTACCTACAGAAGTTCTTGGTTTTAAAGTCAGTGTCAATCAGATAGCATAAAGCGTAAAACTATTAATGGTTATTTTTTATATATGTTTTTATTTGTGAAAGTCATTGCAGATGGACGATAATGCTGAAACAAGAATTTAGTGTTTTATGTATAATGTATTGTGTTTAATATGGACTTCAACAGTTGCAATTATATTATTTTGATATAGAATTTGATATATTTATGTTAAGGAGGCCTGTGTGGCTGCAGACATCAGAGTTCATTGTTTGTGTTTATAGCAAAGTTTTCTTAACAGAAAGTTTTTATTAAAATTAAAATTTTCTATCATAACCTTTACTTCTGATACTTATAATTTTGAAGCAATATTCAAGCACAAATGGTAACTGAATACCTCTACACAGGTAATATTTAACCAAGAGTGTTTCTGCTTTTACTCAACTTTGTATTTGTATTTTGGCCACCCTGCTCCTCGCTGACCATCTAAGCTCAGAAGAGGTCAGGAACAAAAACGTATTCGTGTTTTTCAGGTATGGTGGCAACGTCGTCACTGGATTTGAGAGGATTGAAAGCTTGTACAAGTTTAGTTAGTCAAAAGAAATACGCCGGCATCTGATTCAGTTTTTAAAGTTAGCATTTTAAACCTTTACCAATGTTCTCTCTTCCTACAGCCATCTGTCCGGTTCTTGACCAATCAGGAATTAGAGCTTGTCCCAGGTGCTTTTACTTATGGTATTGTTTATAGTATTGCTCTTTGTATTATTAGTACAGATTTCATTATATGCTTTACTACATCTTTTAGTAAAAATATTAAAATGTTAGTCAAATATTGCCAATGTTATGAATTTTAAGATGTATTTAGAACTCTGGCTCACATGCTTTGCTTTTTTCTTTACTTTGCAAAACGGTTGCGTGAAAGCAACAGCTATTAAGATTGTTTGATGTTGTGAAAAACAGTACAATGTTATTCACAATAACATGCTCCTTCATGTATTCTATTGTATGTCTTTTCTTTTTAAACACTGTGTCCACTCACTGTCCACTCTATTAGACACTCCTACCTTGTTGATCCTCCTTGTAGATGCTGTGTTTTTTTATTATTCTCACTCCAGCAGTGACACTGAGTTGTTTAAAGCATTGCTGTATCTGATACAGTAGTGCCAACACCACACATACTACTATGTCAGTGTTACTGCAGTACGGAGAACAAAATAATAATAATTCCTGCTCAGTGGTGGTCCAGGCAGGGGTCCTGATTGTTGATAAATGAGGTGAAAAGGTTAATAAAGTATGCAGAGAAACAGATCAACTACAAAGTGCACTTATACATTAAATGGACTTGATTAAATGGGAAATGAGCATAGATACAAGGTAGCTGTACACGTATAATCAAGTACAACACCAACACCAATTTAGTGTGTAATTTTTTGATAAACAACTTTGTTACACTGACTGACATTTTTTGTCAAATAAAAGAAATATTTAGTTGGGCTATGATGAGAATATTTGTTGTACAAAAAATTACAACTATTCTTTAGCAAAGCTCTTTGAGTTGTACTAACTTTTATTTCTTTGTTTTAACAAAGAAAGAAAATTTTGTCTATGTTATCGTTCTCACTGTTACATTCTTACTCACTACACAAAGCCTTTTGAAGTTGGAAATCAGTACAAAGGAATATTAAGTTGTGTCAGTAAACTTAAGTTGTTGTCCAGCTCTACAGTAAAACCGTGAATGTGTAAAGAAATAGAAGAGGTACTACAACACAGGTGATCATAGCTAGCAATCAATAACCTGCCTCACTTCTAAGAAAATAATGCCATACATTAAGCCACTATGTACGGTATCACGTCCTCTATATTTAACATTTCTTAAAGCTCAGTTGTGTTCACCAGTATGTGGATATGAACTGATTACACCAGAAAGCATTCTAAAGGATCTGCTTTAAGTGTCAAAACAACTTATACAGAACTTACAATTCAGACAAAATGAGTGAAATAACAATTACATAAGAAACCATTACAAAGTGTATAAATATACTGTGAAAAAAAGATTTATTGCAAACCTAAATGTCTAAGTTCATTGAACACTGATAATAAGTTCACATAACAGAATGTAAGACACAGATTGTAGTTGTTTGGTACAAATACATATATCATAAATTAGTAAATTGCAACACAGTAAAGAAAAAAATAAATGTAACAAGAAAATATTAAATATCCCCTCAAACATCCACACTATAGTGTGCAATATGATTTTATAGTGCACTATACTATTATACTATGATAGTACAAACTATTAACTGGAGAATAAATATATTATCTGAGATTTTAAAGGTGATGTTTTTAGCTCGGTTCTCTCTGGTTGTTGTTGCTCGTAATTTAAAAGCCAACCAACAAACAGAGACTGAAGAGAAGAATCTTTTGAGGTGGTGAATCAGTTCAGTTTTTCCACCAAAGCCATTCCTTCAAATAGACACATTGCTAATAGTCAGGCAGCAATAAGAAGTGCTGGGTGTCACGTTTCCTCTGTGTCTTAAGCTCCAAATAACTCCAGAGGTGTTTGTCAGGACTGTTTATGTTCATTTAACTGAAGAGTTAAAAAGCTAAAAACAATAACAATAAAGCACATCATTCATATGATCCATCTTCATATAATTCAGACGGAACTTCTCATAATTCATAATCACAAGGGGCAGCTTTATGAAGATATAGCTATATGCAAAAGTCAAAATAAATAAACACATCCTTTACAGAGAACACACTTCTGCACATGTTAATACACAATTACTATTTATTTCTTATAACTGGTTTCTAAAGTTTGAACAGAGGAGTGTACAGGAGACCTCGGTAGTCACCCTGCCATCTGGTGGTCATTTTGGCCATTGAGGGTGACCTCTTCATAACAAATATCTCATCATTTATACAGGAATACATTAAAATACCAGAACAACACACTTCATCACAGTGAATGAAGGCCCACAATGAATATTTTGTAACAAAATAAATAAAAATATATATATTTCTTTGCAATGGACGGGTCTTGTGTAGATAAGCATGCTGTGGATTTTGGTATAGTATATACTTAAAACTGTTATTATTGGCCTTGATTCAGTGTAATGTGAAGAGAAATAAGTTATATCATCACAGATTTCTTGATAAAGTGCAGACGTACATTTGTAAAGAATTTTTAAGCAGATCCGACTGCTGTTAATGTGTTTATCCTGGAAAGCTTGTGTAGCAAGTCAAGTCAATCAGGGGTGTGACTAGACTGTACTAAGCTGAGCCCATGGCCTATTTTATATGGTCACATGATTACACAGCCTGTCTTCCATATTTCAGAGCACCTACAATATAGACTGTAAACAATTTGCCAATTCAAACAAAATAAATGGCAACACCTTTATCTAAAACATAATTCATGTAATAATAATAATAATAAATATAGCCGCAAGTGGCAATGAACAGTTCCAAGCACACATGAGCCCATTTAGACCAAATGGACAACCATGGTGAAAAGCAAAACAAATTTAAGCCAAAATACCCAACAATGAGTGCAATTTCTGACATAACATGCAATTACAAAGTTATTCAGTTCAATGCAATGAATCAAATGTCCTCAGTAAACTGTGAGTGTTGATCTTCAGTAATTACCTCTGAGCTTTTCTCTGTTTATGATCTTCACTGAACAGACGCTGCTGAAGGTTTCAGATTTGGATATATCTTCACATTTTAGCAGTGCAAAGTCTTTTTCTTGTTGCTGAACCTTGAACTTGTAGATAAAGTGTGATATCAGTGAGGCGTTCCCTGGCCCCTCTTTTATGTACGACCTTTGAACCCTGACAGTCCCTCACACTAAAACCACAATCTCTTCATTTACTCCACGAGGACCCTGTCATAAATATAACTCATATTCACTCAGTGCAGTTACTGAAAGAGCTGAAAACATACAGGTGC